CACTTTTTTTGTCTTATTGAAAATATTGATTACCTTATTTCTCTTTATTTGTCGTTGTATGGAACATTTCAGGAAGCTTTAGATTTCGGGAACTGCGATAAAATTCGTATATTGATGCGTTTTTTCACTGTACTGGTATGTATATGCAAAGATATCTTTTTCCTTGAGATAGTTATGGATGCAAATGTAGGTTGTAAAGGTTTTAAATGTAATTCCAAATTTGAACTACTTTCTAGCACAATGGTTAGTAAAGATAATTATTTTCTCAGTGGTTGTGCAATCTGATATATTGTTGTGTGTTAATTAGATGTGCAGTAAAGTTCTTCAACCTGGTTCTTTGGGGGTTGTTTTTGAGACACTGCTATCATCGGCCGCCACCACTGTGGATGAGGAGAAAGGAAATCCTGCCTGGCAAGCACGGGGTGACTTTTATGTAACTTGCATTTTATCTTGTCTTCCGTGGGGAGGAGCAGAACTAACTGAGGTAAATGGTCTTTTGCTTAATTGTTCAGTAGAATTTTGGTTGACATTTTATCATCATCTTGTTAGAAGTTCTTGATGTTAGATTCCCTTCCCATATGGTTATGACCCGTAAGTGATGAAAAAGTGATGTAATGTTTTGTTGGATGTATGCATTAGAGAGGTGAAACAAACACTTCAAAATAAACTTGTCTGAGTGGCTGGAAGCAAGTAATTTTTTTAGTCTAACTTAACAACTTGACACATTGTTGGAAGACTGAAACCTTTGGGAGAAAATTTAATGCAACCACAAAGGAAGGAATTTAGTTAAACTGCTCAGTTCCTTTTATTTTTCAGGAATTTGAAGGCTGCTTTGTTTGCCTTGGTTATGCAGTTGCTTTCATTTTCTTCTTAATCTGCTGATATATATATTCTGCATGTTTAATGGTCTTCAGATTATGTTCTTTCAAAACAAAAAATGGTCTTCAGGTTATGTGTACTCTACTTTTTTACCATATTATATTCTGACTAAGTGCATTGGTATTCAGCAAGTTCCTGAGGAGATCGAGAGGGTCATGGTTGGTATACAAGCCTATTTGAGCATTAGAAAGCAAGCTTCTGACACTGGTTTATCGTTCTTTGAGGATGATGATGAATCTGGTAAAGATCTTGCTGATAAGGTGTGTTTTCCTTGTTTTAATTTTCTTACCAGATGTAACTTCTTTTAAGTATTCCTTATCTGAATATAACTTTGGAAAACTTAGATTAACTTTCCTCAAATATGGTTGAAACTACATTTACTGATGCGGAGGAGATTAATTGAAAATTATTGAAGTATTATTTGTATTTCTTTAGTAGCTTAACTGTGTTTCCTGTTTAGTTTATGTGACAGTGTTTTAGTGGGGTAGAATTTCTTTACTTAGGAGGATTATTTTTGGAGTACAATAAATATGTAAAAGTCTTATAAGTATTCTTCATGATGGTGGATTCCAAGGTCTTGTATTTTCTGGTGGATTCAGTTATATTCCCTACTTTCTGTTCGATAGTCACTTTTTAATTTCTTGGCTGGATGGGTTAATTTTTTTTTTTTTTTTTGAAATAGAAGCATAGTATGTATCAGGCTGGATGTGTTAATCTATCCTCCATTATTGCTTCCTTCATTTCTTATTTATCTTTTCCAGGATTTCTTGGAAGATCTATATGATCGAGTACAGTCACTGTCCAACAATGGATGGAAAGTTGACAGTGGTAAGAATGTTTTTAGGTTCTTTCATTTGTTTATTCTTGTTTAGCATTGCTTTACTTTAGTTCTTTCTGTCATATGGGAAATTAGACTATTTTGTAATTTTTTTAGAGTGATGATGTAAAGTTGTTGTTGCTCACCATTTAGCTTCTGTTGGGAGAGTAAAGGATTTCAGTCTGGTGGTTGTTTGCTGAGGATGATTATTTATCTGGGAAAAAAGTCTTTTTAGTTGATCATCTTAAAATTTTCTTTCTATCCAAGGAGGTTTTTATTTGAAGAAAAAGAAGATGATATCTTTTGGTGTAAAAATGGAATGTATATGGCTGTGGAACTCGGTAAAGAAGCTTCTTAGGGTGAATGGTCAGGGTTTGAGGTTGCATGTTACATTCAATAAGGCAATGCTCGAAAAATGGCTGTGGAGGTTTACGAAGGATAAAACTGTTTGTCTTGGAGGTTCTAAGAGCCAAGTATGATCTTGAGGGCAGGGGTTGGATTACTTGAACAAACATGGATCACATGGTTTGGATGTATGGAAGGGGTTTAGATCCAAATGGGTGGGCTTCTATGGTTTTGTTCATTTCAAAGTGGGGTCTTCTGACCACTTGATGACGTTTTGGAGAGAAATTTTTTTGAAATTGCTGGCATGAGGTTTACATGGAGGGAGTGCTGTTGTGCAGTGGCATTCAATTAGGTACTGTGGGATATTTTGCTCTTATTCAGAATGTGAATGACTGGGAGGTGGATAGTTTGTCCTCTCTCCTCCACTGTCTAGCCTCCTTAGTCTTGGCTCTCGATACTGATGATCAAGGAGTTTGGAAGTCTACCAAGGATGCGTATTTCTCTGCGAAGCCCTTTTATCACATTTTTCAGGGATTAAGTAATGAGCAGGATGATTTCCCATTGAAACAAATATGGAGGAAGCAAGCCACTCCTAGATTGTCCTTTTTGCTTAGGAAGCTGCATTGAGTGGAATTCTTAGGATTAACGCTCTGAGGAAGAGAGGGAAGATTCTTATGGATGGGTGTTATTATATATGTATAGTGGCAGCAAAGTCTCCTGAACAATTGTTTTATGGTGCCCTTTAGCCTTTTTGTTGTGGTGCATGGTAAAGTCCCTTGTTAGCTTGTTACGGATCGATGAACATAACATTCAGAAGTCAAGAAAGTGAACACTTCCTGGATCTTCTGCCCTTGTTTCCTATCTTTTAATTAACAAACGGAGCATGTTAAGAAAGAACCCAATGTGTGATAAAAAAAAGAGAGAATTCTATGATGTTGAAGAGTAAGAAATTACTCAAGGAAATTCATCACAGGTGATCTTCATTATTTACGGATAATTTATCCTTACAAATACCAGATTTTACTGCTCTACTAAAGGTTAAGAACTGCCCAGTCTGGAGAATAGCAACTGTAACAAACTAAACACCATAACAGACTGTTTCCTGCATCCTTTGTTACTCTGGGATTGGCAGATAGGATGGCCTTTTTGGAGTCTATTTAGGCCAAGGCATACGGGCATTATACAGATACCTCTTTGGCTATTTTATGGAAGACACTGGACTGTAATTGATTTTTGTTTTTCTCTTTCTTTTTAGGAGGATCTCTTATCCTCCATTGATGTACTTTCTTCTATTCTCTTTTTAATGATACGTACGTTTCCATTAAAAGACTTAATAACAACCCTAAAAAATTTCTCTTATTAGTATCGGTTCATGTCATTTGAAAATTTGACCAAGGGCCAAAAGAAAAAGTAGAAAAACAAGGGTGTTTAATTGCTTCATAGTGGCAAATTTTATTTACTTGACTCTCTCCATATTTTTTGTCTGCTTTCCATTACATTGTTTGAGTTAAGTATTGCAATTGTCATATTTTCACTTGGTTACTTGTGCTCAACTAATTTCACTGCATAACCATGTGATATCATTTTACTTGTTAGTTCCCAGACCTCATTTGTCATTTGAAGCTCAGTTGGTAGCTGGAAAGTCTCATGAGTTAGGGCCATTCAGCTGTCCCGAGCAACCGCATCAGCCTACAGCACTTTCTGGGATTATTTATGGCAAACAAAAGTACGAGGCAGAGCTGAAGTATCCTCAAAGAATACGCAGGCTTAACATCTTTTCTGCCAGTAAAACTGAGGTAACTTGTTATCTAAGATGTTAATGCATGGTTTCCTAGGAAGAAAAAAATGTTAGTGTACACATAGCAGCGGGCAACCGCACTTGTGCTTGCAATAAGGCAACACATCTATGCCATTAACTGGTGCTGCAACCTTTCTCCCCCTCTTTCTCTCTCCCCTTTTCTGCACATGTATTTTTATTAGTTATCTAATTATTCTCCTCCATTTTTTTGGTTGGCAGGATTTGCAACCTATAGATCGGTTCATCGTGGAAGAGTATTTACTTGATGTGCTTTTGTTTTTGAATGGCTGGTTCGTATAATCTACAGACTCATCATTGATCCTGCTTTTATTGCATTATCTTGTTTTACATTAAAGAAATTATTTTTCCCTTTTAATCTATATATTCTCGTTTTGTTTTGAGTTATTTTCAATGTCATCATTTTGTTATGAATTTCTGTTTTTTTATCTTTATTAAGTACCATGTAACAGCTAATGTGAAAAAGGAGAATGAAGCAGTTGATATGGTAATACAAGCCCTTTGGTAAAAGAAAGTCTATATATGCATTTTGTTTTGCAACAAGAATCTGTAAACTCGCTAACTTTTGTCTCAGGTTGAAAATATGTTGCTGCCTACTTGGATTCTTTTCTCTCATCAGACAGCATATGTTCTTTTCTAGTTATTCAATTTATTCTATTTATCATAATGTTACCAAATTCTTGCACGCCATGGTGATAAATTGAATAAATTCAATTAGTAACTGAAATAGAACAATTGAAAATAGTGATGAACTTGGAAATTGCCTGAGAAACTCAAATAACCATGTAAAAATTGACCCTCTTAAAATCTGTTGGCAACAGTTAAAACAGTTATCTGATAAAAAATGCAATTGAAGAAAAAAATTTCTTTGCAAATGATATGATTCTTCTTCTACCTCCTGTTGTGATTTGGTTATCTTATACAATACGAACAATTATGACTCTTATCTTATGTAATACTAACAATAGTTAACTCATAGTTAAACTTATGAGTGCTCAACTTGACTAATATGCAGTTTGCATCTCACGAAAAAAAAGTGGATGTAAATATGACCAAGAATATGTTCGTTGATTAATAAAACTAAATCAAATAGAAAAAAAAGGAACTTTTACTTCTTAATAATTGAATGTCCACTTTTTTTTTAAAAAATGAATATTTGCATTTTCATGAACATGGGCCCTTAGAGGTGGATGTGTAAGTGACTGATTTTCCTTAATGTAACTGTTGCCCCTTTGCATGTTACTGTTACTTTGCCTGTATTGAGTGGTCCTATTTTTGGGTCTTAATTTGTCTAGATCCTCAGCTTTGTTCGACATTCTCTTTATGCTTGTTACTTCTATACAATTCACGTGCTTAATTAATTTCCTATCCATTCTTGTCTTTTCTTGTCCATCAAATTTAATCTTTTCTTAATTTTAATTGTTTGTGTTTCATGGTTCATGGAAAGCTAGTCGAAAGGAATGTGCCTCCTACATGGTTGGCCTGCCTGTGCCTTTCCGATATGAGTATCTTATGGCGGAGACAATATTTTCCCAGGTAAAATTTTGCCAACTTTCCAATTTATGCTAATGGAATAACATTCAAGTTCCTTTCTACTGATTAGTATTCATAACTGAAAGGAGTGGAAGAGCTTTTGGAGAATTTGGACTTCCCTCATTTAAGGATGAAATATTTTTGTACCTAGGTCTTTTGAAATCTGTAAATTTTCTCATGTAAATAATTGTTTTTACATACTGCTGAAGCGCCGTGTTGGTGTTTTCTGTCTCTATATATAAAATATTAATGTTTTGTATTTTTTCCATGAAAAAGCATGTGAGAAGTGCTTCTCTAACATGCCTTATTGCATTCTTTTTTCATGTTAGCAGACTGTATTTTGTAATTGTGGTTATGACTTATGAATAAGAAAATGACAGCTGAGGCAAACTCATATATTAGGATAGACTGGGAAGTATGTGATGTTAATATACTATATTTTGTAATTTTGGATATGAATAGGAAAATGATGGCTGAAGCAATCTCATGTGTAGGACTATGATACATGACTTGATAATCTTTAGTTTGATTTTATTCCCGGCATTTTCCCTTCTAAATTTGTGGACTGTTCATTACTCTTTATTTTGTCTTCTTGGATTATGGTCAATTTGACAATCAAGTATGTTGTTCTTGCAGTTACTATTGTTACCTCAACCTCCATTCAAGCCAATATATTACACTCAAGTCATTATGGATCTCTGTAAGGTTGTATAAAAGCAATAATTTCTTGAAATGTCTTATGCTTTCTCCTTTATCCCCCTTGTGAAAGACTTATTGTGCCTTATATAGTAAGATCTGATGATCTCTTTTGGTTCTTAGGCTCTTCCTGGCGCCTTTCCTGCAGTCATAGCAGGAGCAGTTCGTGCTCTTTTTGACAAAATAGCTGATTTAGATATGGAGTGCAGGACACGGCTAATTCTTTGGTTCTCCCACCATCTGTAAGTCTAGTGATTGAGACATAAACTGAGAGAAGATTTTCTTTATTTCGTGATCTTCTAATCCTTTTTGTTTTCCACGTGGAATAGTAAAATTTAGCAAAATTTGTCCTTTTAAATTAGAGAAGCAGCCTCTTATTTATGAAGAGAAACTGTTTCTCTCTTTTTCCTCTCAAAGAAAAAAAAAGATTTCCTAGTCTAAGGATAACTATTTGCAAACTTTAGCAACAAATCTAACATATAAAGTGAACTTGTTAAGAGAATAAAATCTTGCATTACTTCCACATCCTTCGTGATAATGGTCAATGGAGGACTGTCTTTTTCTTTTTCAAGGCTTCTAGAGGCCTAAGATAGGGTGATCCGTTATTTTCTTTGTTATTTATTGTGATTATGGAAGCTTTAAATAGGATGCTGATAAGAGCAAGGGAACTGGACTTGTTCAAAGGTCTGAAGGTGGGACTGGGGAAACATACTGAGGAGATAACATGCTTATTCTTCGCTGATAATACCATACTGTTCTATGAGCAGGATGAGCATGCAATGCTCAACGTAAGGTGTCTTAATGGGCTTTCAAGCGATTTCGGGATTCAATATTAAGCTTGCCAAGTCTGAGATGGTTAGGTTGAGGGATGATAATGATGCTGTAAGGTTGGCGAGAGTGCTGGGATGTAAAGCTGTTAAGTTCCCAATTAAGTATTTGGGGTTACCACTGGGGGCTAATTACAAAGAGGTAAGGGCTTGGAGTTTGGTGTTGAATAGGTTTGAGAAGAGGTTGGCGGACTGGAAGAAAGCTCTTCTTTCTAAAGGAGGGAGGTTGACACCCATTAAAAGTATGTTGGACAATCTACCCATTTACTCCATGTAGATTCTTATGGGCGATTCAGATGAAAGAAAAAGATATCAGTTAGTAGCTTGAGAGGAGGTCAAGAAGCCAATTTCCTAGTGAGGATTGGGACTTCTCTTATGGATATGAACTTGGCTAGACAAGGTAAATGGTTGTGGAGGTTTATGCAAGAAAAGGGTACGTTATGGAAAAGGGTGATAGAA